TGCACTGGGGTCTCAGCGATCTCGCAGGAATGGTGACACAGTTTTCTGGAGAACTGACTGATTGGTATATGGTGGTATTTTATACCCTGGTATAAAAATTAACCATCTATTTGGGTTAAACCCTCACAGGCCTCTGGAAGACAGAGCTGTTATTAGAGTTTTATTGTAGGGCAGTAACCTCCTTGGCCCTTTAAGGTCAATTTTTGGAGACCGTATAGCAGGGGTGCCCAATCCTGGTCCTCGAGAGCTACCGTCCTGCAGCTTTTAGATGCATCCTTGTTCCCACACACCTGAATCAAATGAATGGCTTGTTATCAGGCCTTTGCCAAACATGATGGCATGCTGAAGAGGTAATCAAACCATTTGATTCAGCTGTGTTGGAGTAGGGATGCATCTAAAAGCTGCAGGATAGTAGCTCTCGAGGACTGGGATTGGGCAGCCCTGCCGTATAGCAACTAGTATTTTTTCTTGTCATGGATAAGGTCCTTTATGCCCAGCGGGATTGGTCTGAAGCCACAATGTGTTAATCTGATTCAAGTTCAAGTTTCATGCATACCATCTGATTGCTTGGGCCTCTCCGTCTTCTCCGGCTCTTGTTTCTGAACAGGAGACTCTTTGGTTGTTTTGGGAATCTTCTCAATTTTTCCCAATACCTAAGTGTTGGGACAAAACACAACAACAAACTGTTAACACGCTGCATTTCTTTTTTAGAGGAAAACCTCTGACCTGCATATCCTGTTTAAAATAGCAAAGAACATCATCTGAAAGATCACGTTGTGTTTTTTTTGGTTCCATTTATGAAATACTGGATGACAAAGTTAAAATAGAAATAAAGTATACACCTTTGTGGGTTTGCTGCTGCTCTTCTCTGTGGTGGGTTGATTCCTGCGGGGGGCGCGATCCTTGGCCTCGCAGTTTAACAGGAACTTTTCGAAAAGGTTAGTTGAACCTGTGGTGTCCTTCTGTCCCAATATCTCGTCCTTGGTAACTTCCTCCTCCTTACTCTTGGTGACACCAACAGCTGTAACAGAGGACGAGGACGACGAGGACGATGTAGATGGGACTTTGGGTGGTGCAGACGCGCTCTCCTGCCCTTTGCTCTTTGCTTTCTTATGTAGGGTGGAGTTGTCACTGGAGTCTGATTGTAGCGCAGTATCCTCTTTTGCTTTAGAGCTATGACTCTTCAGTTTTTGGAGGCTGCTTTCTTTCTGAGCAGAATCTGTCTTTTTGTTCTTTTTGTCGTGGATAAGGTCCTTTATACCCTGCAGCTTTACTTCCCACTTCCCCTTTTTTTGTCTGGACTTGTCGTCCAAACTGGCTTTTTCCACCGATTTTGTTAAAGTCTCAGTTGACGCGGAATCGTCCATTTGGGACTCTGACGGGCCTTCGCTCACGTCATCTTCCAGCGGAGCAGCGGCCTCATCTTCAGAGGTTTCGATCTTCCTCTCTGTCTTCCCCTTCTTTTTCCTCCCATCGTCGCCCTTTTCTTTTTTATGCTTCCCTCCCTCTTTTCCTCTTTCCTTCCTGTGTTTCTTGGAGGGAACAGGGTCATCCTCTTCCGATTCAACCACACGTTTTTTTGATTCAGTCTTTCTCTCCTTGGGTGGAGAGCTTGGGGTTGGGGCTCTGCCTTCTTCCTCATCGGTTTCTGGTGCCGGTAGGGGCCTAAACTCTTCTTTCCGCTTGTCCTTCTTCTTTTTCCTTTTTTCCTTAAGATGCGATTCTTCTTCCTCCTCCTCCTCTTCCCGGACTTTCTTCTTCTTTTTCTTCTTGACAGGTGCCTCCGTTGGTCGGTCTTTGTCGCTGTCACTTTCCGAGTCAGCATCAAACACGTCACTCTTTGGAGGCAGAGGTTTCTAAAGAGAGAACGGGAAGGGAAATATCACATTTTGGTAATAGATATGACTTTTTGACCTTCTGACTTAAGGCTCTATAATAGTTTGTCATAAGTAATTAGAGGTCAATAATGCTGCCAACAACATTTTGCCCCTTCATTTTCAAAACGATGTCCAGACAGGTGGGAAAATAACATCGATAATAATCTTAATAACAGACAAAATTTGTTTTAAGTTCATCTGTTGTGCATTAGTTCTATAATCAAGAAAGGAAAGATCAGATTACTTATATTAAAAAGGCTTTAAAGCCAAAGTTACAGGCAGTTTGCTTCTGGCTTAGAAACAAAGATGTTTTCTTGCAACATTTAAAAGAATAACTATACCAACACGGGAAACCTCACCCGGCCCGGACACAGAAGACAGATCGATAACTTCAGGTATAGCGTTTTTGTTTTTTTTACTATTTAATTTGTAAAAATGTGTACACACACACACACACACACACACACACACACACACAGGAAAATATTTAGTATACACATCCAGAAATGCATACACTATTATATATTGTACATATATTTATTAGTTTCAGGTTGGCCATTCTTGTATTTTGCTCGTTTGTGTTGTTGTGTTTGCACATCTCTGTTGCTTGTGGGGCTCGCACACAAGAATTTCATTCGCATGTGCTGTGCCAGTGTGCCTGCACATGTGATGTGACAATAAAAGTGATTTGATTTGGCGCTTCATAAACACTATACCTAAACCCAAGAGCGTAACTTTGGGTTCAACATGCGTAAAGCTACATCTGTGCACCAAGACCAACCAAGTCCCACATAGTAGGGGCGTGCAAAAACTTTTATTTGCTGCTTGATGTGTTGGCGGTGGTTACAATGCCTCATTCCCCTGTAAATAATGCCCATGCCTCATTGCTTGAAAGATCAGACTTACCACACATTTCTTGGTTTCTGCCTCTTTCTTGGCCTTAGCTTCAGCCTGTGACTTCTTAAAAGCCAAGAGGACTTCGCGACAGTCTTCCAAATGGGCCTCTGGTTCCCACGTGTCATCGTCAGAGCAGTAGTTCTTCCAGCGAACTCTGTACAGCACTTCACCCTGAGAACAAGAAAGCGAAGATGTAGCGCTTAGCATGACCTGCCCCACTGACCTGACCTGACAGTGAGATCACGAGCCAACAGGATCTATAGAAAACAGAAGACTTCCACATGACAGCTGAGACAAGCAAACATGGCTGACAGGCCCTGTTAGTTAGTGTTAATTATGATATTTTGAATGATGCTGTCTGTCTTTAAAGTTCTAATATCAAAAGGTTGACTGAGGAGACACAGGCAAAACATTTAAAGTTGCAGTGAGAACTTGCTGAAAGAAAGTGTGCAAAACAAAAAGTGTAAGACTTGTAAAAAACTGTTAGTTTCACAGCTGACTTTTGTGTATTAAGAGTGACTGAACGTGAGCAAGAGAGATGCAAAATCCTGTAAAAAGCAGAGGACGGTGTGAATATTTTCAATCTTTCCAGGGAGATGTTGACAGCGCTGCATCAGACTGTACACATATGAAGTTAAAGCATCTAAAAGGTGCAGAAGCTCCCACTGGGCACGCCGCACTGCTCAGAAGGACCACAGCTTAACTTCCTGTGCATGTGTTTACTTCGCAGGTGGTACAGCCCAGAGAGACTCCAGAGTTCACAAAGACCAACGGCAAAAAGTGTAAAAAGCAAGGTGTTGAAAATATCTTAGTAGAGATAGTATTACCTCCCATTCTACCTCAACAATCAATGTGCACATCACAGAATTTGATTCACGAGCTCAACTGGTCAGTAATCAAGCCTGTACTGTCTCGCTGCTCTACTATAAATATTGATTTCTCCTTTCTTTTGGTGCTATTCAACCAAATTCACTTATAGAAAGAGTGCAATTTAACCTTTGTAACGAGACCTGATACTCAAAGGAACCCCCCCCACCCAAAGTTAATACCACGGACATTACATGTGCTTCACGGCAATCTTAAAAAGAAAAGGTAAAAAGCAAGAAAGATAGCAAATGTAGCTAATGTTAGCTGCTGGGGTCATCTGTGTTTATGCACGGGTCTAAAGCATGTTTGTCCGCTACTTTATACAGTTAGAAATGCAGCGGTCACAGGGCTCATCCATTATTACCTGGTATAAGTAAATTCAGTGTTAACAAACAGCAAATCCCACCAATCTTCTCACACGCTGCGAGTCCTGCATTATTCGGGGATTTAGCCGATGTAGCGCTGCAGCTAGCAAAATACGATGAAAATATGTGAAAGCCTGCAACGGGTCCGTCCTTGGCCTCAGCAGGGGAGAGCCGAGCGGACATCATGGGACAAGTTGTGCTTGGAAAAGATGCTATGTATGGAGGAACAGCGACCCACGACTAAAACCAGAAAACGCATGTAACAAAGTAACACACAAGCAATTTTGTGCATGTAAATGCACCGCAGAAACGCAATTCTGCTAACACAAAGGGTCTTTCCACCGTTGTTGGTGGGCTATGCCTCGTGAAAGTGGACTGAAAGAAATGCCAGCCATGTTTGCAAAGCTAGCCAGGCGGCTACGTAGCACTTAGCTATTTTTACCTCTTCCACCCGCATGTCAATGATCTTTTCCACTTCGTACACGTCTTCTTCCTCATCTTGTTCGCTGTCCGCGGGCTCTACCTTGTCGGTTTCAGCCGCCATGGCTGTGTGGTAGTGTTGGTTTCCTAAAATCTGCCTGTTTTGGGTTTTGCACTCGAAAAGGCCGCCGTGTTGACAGAGGTAGGACGCTGCCGTACCTGGCGGTGGTACTACAGACTGCACTAGCTCTGCAGCTCTGAGAGGGCTGTGCTGAACGCAGGGCAGTTACCGCCCGCAGTCACGAGAGGCGTTCAAATGCTGCTCTTAATCGTCGAACGTATCACTCCAAAATAGTATTTACCAAAAAAAAATAAAAAAATTATTTTTGCTGATGTACTAAAAAAGGCGATTTGGTGATAATTAATTTTAATCGAAACAATATATTACGCTATAATACGCTAAAGTGATTTAAAACCAACAAACAACTATTTCATTGCTTTCCATAACTTCTGACTTTTATGCCCCGCTACAAGTTTAAAGAATAACAATAATTTTAACAACATATGTTTTTTTTTTTTTAATTTTCTCTTTATTGTTCTGTTATTTCGGGCGATGACGCCCAAAAGTTCGAAATGTACTAAAGGCATCAAAAGTCAGTGATTTGCGAGTGTTGAAAACACGTTGCCTGGTGAAAACAGACCGTCTGCTAACTAGTTATACATATTTAAATATAGCACACATGTTCCTGCACAGAACAAAACAAAAAAACACGTCATCCACTAATGTTTTTAAGTCTTCAATGTATAATATTTTAATAATCACAAGTGCAATATTGAAATGCCTTAAAAGCCACAATATTAGCAACATGTTTTTCAACTGAGTAAACTTTAAGCAGCTTTGGAAAATTAAATAATCGTTTCAGTTTACTGCCTAAAACAGAAGTCACTTCTAATAACTTTAATCACCTAAATTTATTGTAACATTACATCACAAACAACACAAATACAGCAATACTAGTATAAAATTATGATAATAGTATTATTATTACTAATAATAATAATAATAATAATGATATAATGTATTTCTTTAGATAAGTATAAAGAAATAAATCAGGTGGAAGAAACAGAAGACCAAAAATACATGGAGGAAAATATTATGTAATTTTACAAAATATAGTAAGAAACTGTTTAAATGTATGTAAACACATATGTTTCAAATACTGTCCAGCTGTGTGTCAGCTGTGGCATTTGACCATCTGTTTAAACAGTCCAAAAAAAAGAAAAGAAAAGAAAAGAAAGAATACAAATAAAAACTAACAACCCCCCCCCCCCCCAAACAAAAACAAACCCAAAAAAGAGTTTTAGAAAAAGCCCACATATTTTGTTTAGTGTAACTAATCTAAACATCTCAGTTATGGCTCAGTGTTTGGAGGAAAATTCTTAGCCTTGGTGTAACAAATAACATGGTACTTTTAAAGTAATGCATTACCCCATTGTTGTTGTTGTTATTATTATTATTATTGTTATTTCAACATTTTCTAAAGTTACAACCTAATACATTCACACATGAATGCATGTCTGAATAGCTGTTGGTCAGCTGGTACAGCTCTTTATTCAGACTCCAAAAATGATCTTGAGATCTGCCAGAGAGAGTTTGGAGAGGGTGTTTCCGGTTCCCGACAGCACATTCTGTGCCAGCTCCTTCTTCTTTGTCTGCAGTGTGGAAATCTTCTCCTCCACTGTGTTTTCACACACAAACCTATTGACAATGCCACATAGACACACACACACAAACTATTAGCACAAAGAAACACAGTTTACACATCATTGTCACCAGTACATGCTTAGTAAAACTTAAAAATAAAGATGCAAACTAGAAATTTTGTGGCGATTCAGTTAGAAGCTGATGCGTCACCTGTGGATGGTGACGTCTTTATATTGTCCCACTCTATAGATGCGGTCGCAGGCCTGATCCTCCAAAGCTGGGTTCCTGTTGAAGGGTTAAAATTGAAACAACTTTATTCTACCTTACAGAAATGTTTCTTAAGTTTGGAATAACATAATCTCTGCAAAACTGCAGAATGCATTGTGTGACGTCTGCACATGTTTGTTTATAACTGCCTTTAAATTGTCCTTTGCCATTCCTTATAATGCGAAGTGTGAAGGCACAAAATATTTTAGAGGATAAAAATTAAATTAGAGAGGATAAAATGTTGAAAAAACTATTTGCACAACAGATATATTTCAAATGCAGCTTGCTACATTAAACGGCAAACGGCAAACAACAGAAGTGATACTTTTCCAGCTCTTTGAATGACAATGTGGCTCTCACCAGTGCATGTCAATGAGGAACAGGTGATTCCCACCGATCAGATTCAGTCCAACCCCCCCGGCACAAAGAGAAACCAGCATCACCTGAAGCAAAAACCAGAACAATTAGGCAGCACTATACATTTAGAGCTGTGCAACAAAACAGTTTGATTACACTCATTTTCATCATTATCACTTCAAGCTTAGTTCTCAGCTGCATAGCACACTTGGTATAATGATCACAGCTAATCTAGAAGTCCCATCATCATCATCATCATCATTATTATTACTACTATTATTATTTACATTTCAGTGTTGCAGCAATTTCTGTTTATAACATATATTTAATTTATTGTTGTTTACTTTTTATTTAACTGTATTCTTCACAAATGGAGCAAACATTACAAAAACAGGAACAGTTGGCCTTACATTTATGCACAGATTATCAGTGCAAGTACAAAAAAAAAAAAAAAAAAAAAAAAAAAAAAGCCACTATTGCTGTTTTACATAGTGCATCAGTGTTTTCACAGTTTTTTGTAAACTGATAAGTTTGTTAGCTTAAAGAAAAGAAAATCTCTTCATGTCTTTGATATTGCTCACTGTGCCATCCAGTCATTCTTAATTAGGGGTTCATGTTTTAATCATTTACGGGTTATTGCTATCCCATTGGCTGTGCAAGCAATCTTCTTAATAAGCATTAAGAAGATACATAAATAAATCGTACAGAAAGAAAAGTCCATCTGTTCTTGTTTCTCCTATCTGTACACAGTTTAATTTAGGGGTTATAAAATATCTTAACAGGTAGATATTCTGCTAATCGTAGTCTGTAATGGAAGATCCCAGAGTCTTCCTCCAGCTTAGATTATTTTAATGTTTTTTCGCTGGCCGGACGTCAGAATAAATGAAACAAGTTTCTTATTGTTGTTGTTGTCTTATTGTTGTAAATTTGAGTCTTTTGTATTTCAAAATCTTATTTAGATTGAGCGGTAGAAAGTGGTACCAATTTCATTCCAATATTTAAAGCTCCCATTGATATCTTACTGGTGTGATAATTTTATCATTTTAAATATAGGTCCTCTGCTCTTGATGTAAAAAATGCCATGTGGATTTTCCTTGCAGCTCGTTGTATAAAAGTTGTTTTTATTTTTTATAAAAGTTGAATACATTTATTAGTGAAACTCTGTTAAATGTGCAGAATGGATTAATCCTCATTAAGATTATGAACATCTTAAATTCTACATCGTTTCCGTTCATGTCAACTCCTTTACTTGGTGCATTACTGCCACCTGTTGGTTAGAAGTATGGAAACCATTGTGCCGCCTCATTATGCTTAATTTATGCTCCTGCGGCTGTGTCTCTTTGTGAAGGTAATTATCTACAGGGAGGAGGTCTAAACATGCTCCTGTGCAGTTCTCCAAAATCTAAACTTCACATTGCTCGACGTGTATGATGATGTAAGTCGTTCGAAAGGTGATTAGCTGAGAAGTGGACTGGAACAGGGAAGGGAGAGAGTGGGGTTCACCAGGCATGTGATAAATGCAAAAAAAACCATCAACCCCCCCAGTCGGCTTCATTCAGACATGCTCCATTTGACAAAAATAGAGACATTTACCTGTGGTCCCTTTGGGTTAGTGTTGAATTCTTCCACCAGGTCCATGCGGCGTTTAGGGTTGACGGTCCCGTCGATGACGCTGTACGTTAACCCCATCAGCTGCAGATGAACTGCTACAATTTGGAGCATGCTGGTCCACTGGGACACGATCACACTGGACAATAAGGGCGGGACACGCCATGAAGACCACACATGAGAAGGTAACATGAAAATTGTTCTATTAATTGTGAAAAAAAAGACATGAACTCTAAATTATTGTGATGTGTAATGTTTTACCTTTTGTGATCATTACTCTTCTCTCTGATCGCCTTCAGTTCAGAGATGATAGCAGAGATCTAGAAGGAAAATTGATCTTTTAATACTAACAAACAGACTTTGAACTGGACCACCATGCGCTCTTATCACATACATTGTGAAAGGCCCCAAAAACGAACAAAGACAAATGGTCAGCTATGAATTTTAAAACATTTAGCATAAAAACAATCATGTCAAATCACGATTTAGAGCTGAATCTGTGTGGGAAAGATCCAAAGGCTCCAACTGAGGGCAAACAATCCACACCCGGTGACTTCATTGGTGACTTTATTGTGACTTTTGATCAACAAAAACAATCATACCCTGATCTTATTTCACCTTCTATATCAGACAGCAGCACACATTTTCACATTCTGCCAGTAACTGTGATGTTAGTGTGCTGATCTATTGCCCACCTTGGTGCTTTTGCTGGTGCCCTCAAACAGCCGCGAGGGGAAGCGTGTGCCATTGAGGGCCACAGAGTCTTTGGGATCAGGGCCAGATGGCGAGGGGCTGGAGGAGAGCGACAGAGCATTGAGCTGCTCCTCCAGAGATAAGACGATCCCATCACCCTGCAGCTCCGATGAGTCCAGAGTCTAAGCACGGGAGACATGAAAAGAAGGAAATAGGTGTGTGCAGTATTCAGTTTGTATCATTATGTGTGTCTTTTTAAATTATAGACATTGCTGGAAAGCCTTATGACAGCACGTGAAAGTGTGTACCTTCTTAAGAAGTGAGAGGTGACAGCAACATTGTCGGAGGCGCAGCAGCAAGGACAGGATGTGGACAGTGCTGGACACCTGCTTAGCCTGCTGGGAGCTCGACAGAGCAGGATCAGCCTGGGACAAACCAAACTCCTGGGCCACTGGAGAGACAGAGAGAGTGAACACTATTTTAAATCACCATTACTGCTACTAGCAAACACTGATTGCTAAAAGAGTTTGACTTAAGGCAAAAGTGCCGTCCCAGCTTCCAGTTTAATTTCTGTTGTTTTCTACATGCAAATTTAATTATGCACCTCGTATAATAATATGCAATCGTGACTGCAAAACAACCTTTGCTCAGATTAAGTTTATTTATTGGTGAGGCCTCACCTTTCTCAAAGGGATTAGCACTGGAAGTGCTTCCTTTCTTCACATCATTTCCTTCATGTTGCTTTAGGTAGCTCTGCAGAGTAGATCTGGAGGAGAGAAAAAATATATACACCGGTATATATAATTGACTTTTTATAATTGACTTAATTCCTAGTTTCACAACCCTCAAAAAGGTAAAAACATCAAGATGTCCAAATAAAAAACAAAGATGAAAATGCAGGAAATAAAATAGTGAAATGAACAATACAAACAGAACGTCTTGATACTTGACGCCTTGGGCTTTAAAAATGTTAATTAAACCCCTAACTGTAACTCTGCCTTTGCATTTCACAAAGGTTCATGTGTTTCTGAAAAGATAGACTTTTACCTGGACTGGGCAAATAACACATCATACACAGCCTGCTCATCCTCAGAAAGTTTGAGTCGATGCACCTCAGAAGTCCGATCAGGAAGAGACACCTGAAACAAAACTGCTTTAGTTTCTGGTTATATTTTGTAATTAAACATACACTTCCAGAAGCTAAAAGATACTTTGCTTGTTTATGTTTTTTAATTTAATGGTGGCAAACTCCTAATAGTGAGTGTATTTCCTGATGTGCTACCATAAAGACAGATGTTCATGGAGTCTGTGTGTGTGTCTCTCTACCAGTGGTTGGCCTGTGCTGTCCCGTTGGTCTTTGGTTCGTCGGAGCAGCAGAGTCCTGGTCAGAATGTTGAGTCGCTCTCTGCCTCTCTTGGAGCCGTTGTCCACCTGAGCTTTCCACAGTTTGTACTCGTCGAACGGAGAACAACGCAGAAACCTGAAAAGACAGAGGAACGCAGTGAAAGAACAGGATCTCGTTCATGAAATACATTTATTCTTCCTAATGTGTTCATTTCATTTGTGCTTCCTCGTCTCCTCCGTCCTACATCCTTCTGCTTGTGAAACAAATATTAAGCTCAGTCCTCCAGACTGAAAACTGTATCTGGAGGACAGAGGAGAAAGGAGCCTTTCCAGAGGAGCTGTAATCGAGGATGCACTGGTGTATCCTTTGCATGTTTTTATCTTCAAGTATAAAACATCCATGTCACACAGCTGAAATACACAAGCCAAGGTTAGAAGAGGATTTGTCAGACGTTGTTTTAGTTATTTAAGAAGCTCAACTGTGTGATCAAATATTCCAGACTTCATGATTTATATGTAACTTATTAAAAACAGGCGTATTATCTCGTCAGTCTGCACCATATTATGAAAATACTTAAAAATTGTCCCAAATATTAAAAACGGACCACACATGTGCAGCAGGCTAACAAAACACAGGATGGGTTAAAAACTTGTATTCACTGTGCTGTTGTCTTACTTGAGCAGCGAGTACATGTCCAGCAGGTTGTTCTGAATGGGTGTACCAGTGACAGCCCAACGGGCTCCGGCCCTCAGCTGACAGACAGCCATGGAGGTCTGCACTTTTGGGTTTTTGATGCTGTGGGCTTCATCCAGAATTATGCGGGCCCAGGACACTCGCAGGAGAGGAGCTGAGCCTGGACGCTGAAGAAAAATAATGGGAAGTGTGTTGGTAAGTTATTTCATTTTGCTGAAAGTGATGTTTCCAACACTGCTCTTATCTTAGTAAGAAATCACGAAAACAGTATTTTCCTTTTTAGTGCTGCTGCCAGCATCTTCAGTGTTAACACTGAAGGCTTTGGTTCCGGTCGTATATGTAGTATTTACCACATCGTCCTTATCCGTGTTGGGTTTATCGGCCTCTTCTTTTTGGACCGGGATCTCCTTGGACACTAGGCTGTAGGTAGTCACCACCACATCGTAATCTGCCAGTCTGGTGGACACATGCACAACACTGTATTTCGTTTTTGTGACTCAAATGTCCTTCAAATGGGAAAAGAACAGCTGTAATGAAGAACTTTGACATGTCAAAGAAACAATGACAGAGCTGCTCTCCACTACTTTGCACAAACACAAGATCAAACATTTACAGTACACAAATCAATTCCCCCGTGTGCATCATTTCATTTTGTCTGTGAAAGCATGTTTTCTCGAGAGGCGTGTTTTGCAAAAACAACAACAGTTATGACAGTGGAGCTCCTTTTTGTCTGCTTTAGTCATGTTAACGACTGTACTGAGTTTTGGCTTTTCCAAGCTTTCTCTTTATAAAACATCTGCAGGACATTCTTGTTCCTACAGTGCTTTATTATGACCTCTAATACCAACATTTTAATATGTAATTGTTTGGCACAAAGGTAAAAAAGGTCAACTGTCACTGCAGGAACTTTGTGTGGCTCCTCAAAGAATAAGATGCGACTGCACCATTACAAACTGAGATAAAGGCAGAGCGGAGAAATAAACAGCAACGTGTGTGTGACAAAGTTTGCAGCTTTCTTACGCTCTGGCACTTCTCTCACGGTTCGGGCCGTGGTACAGGTACACCGTCAACTTGCCCGTCTTGACATGTCTGTCAATCTCCTTCTTCCAGTGGTGCACCAGGGAGGCAGGGCAGATGATAAGAGTGCCCTTAGACAACACAGGGATGCAGTCTGGACACAAAAAAACAAGGAAATAGCTAAAAAAAAAAGAAGAAGGAAGAACTGTATAATTTTATTTAGCTAGATTTTATTTGATCCACTGAGTCAATGACAAAAGGTTCTTGTTACCAGTTTTGGATAACCAGTTATCCGTCTTCTTCTCTTCCATCTCCTCCTTGTCCTTTTTTGCTTTCATCTTCATGGCCAGTATGAGAGAAATCATGGTCAAGGTCTTCCCCAGACCCATGTCATCCGCTGATTGAAAAGAATACAAATGAGATGTACTAGAAAAAAGATGAAGAAATGGTAAGAAGCGAGGTGTTCCTCTCTTTGTCATGTGAGCAAACTGACTGGCCTGAGGAGACCATTTCTGTACATAGAATAGCAAATTAAATGTAACAAACAGACCCCACGGGCTTATTTCCAAAAACACTCACCCAGTATTCCTCCACAAGGACTCTGCGTTTCTCTCCAGAGCAACCAGGCCAAAGCTCTCCTCTGATGGGGCAGGAGAGGCACCTGAGCAACCAATCACAATGCAGCAATCTTAGCCTAACATCATCGTCCAATCAAAAGAGGAAATACAGGCTGTACCATTCTAAATTGTGACAGTTTTGTCAATAAAAGAAAATGTTGTGACGCAAAAATGAAAATTAATTAAAATATATGGACACATAAAGATTACATTCAGATGCAATTTCTTAGAGCATAATAATGCAAAACTATGAGCTACAATCGGAAGCTATATTTCTAAGGCTGACCTTAAAATGTGGCTGCAATACTAGAAGCAGAAAACCATCCTCAAAATGAGAGTAAATAAATGGTACTCAGTCAGACACCAGGTATTTTTTATGCAGTGCAGCCTCAGTCTGAGCAGTCAAATCAGAGTAAAGATGGCACTCGCCTGCGCTGAGTGTCATGTAAAAATTGCCGATAGATGAATTTAAAAGTGGTCTTTCATATCTTGAAATTTTGGATGATGCTTTTCGGTGAAACTATTCGTGTAAGATTTCAACCTCTCCTGCTAAGAGTTGTCTGTCATCCACTATCTTCTATATCACAACAGCTTAAAAATTTTAAATGTAACTATTTACTGACAGAGCCGAACACTAAGCCGTGTGTAATCAGTCAGAATATCTGAGTGCTGCTATGAGTTTCCTTTATTTTTGAAGTTTTTGTGAAAATGTAGTCGTTGTTGTCAGATTTTTTTTTGCCACAGTAGTGAGTGAAGCAGTGTGTAACACCTTGATACCCTTGGGATCAGGGGCCTCAGCCTCGGCATCAGGACAGGACTCCAGGGACTTGTGGAGATGGTCGATGGCCTCACAGGTGGCATTTTTCACCGCCAGAAGACGGTCGTTGGTCATTCTACCCCCATAAAATGTCTGTGCCTGTGGGTATGCTGGAAACATTAAGGATGAATGATTAGCAATCTATATTTATTTCAAGTTTAAAAAAAAAATTACACATTTTATAGAAGTGTTTCTCTTTCCCATTTGGCATACCTCCATACATCTGAGAGTATCCCTGGCTCAGCTGGAGATCCAGAGAGCCACCAGAGGCCTGATGATGGTGCAGGCCCGGGGCTGGAGGAGCAGGGAGCAGGATGGTCCCGCCCTGTCGGCTGAATGGATTCATCTGAGTGGTGCTGAAACCAGAATCAGTGCTGCTACACGCTTCCTCAGACTCTGAAAGGGAGACACAGACATCCAGCCAAATCTAAAAAACCTTGTTGGTTTTATTATTACACTTTCACCTGCACGTTTGTTTGACAGAAAGAAAATCAAAGAACATCAAATTACACAGTGCTTACTAAGACAAAAAAGTCCCTCAAGGTTTTGCCCGTGTAAGCATAAGGGCTTAACTGGGAGTATAGCTGGGGTACATAGTGGAATAACTAAAAAGCACTTGAATAAACCATCTGAAAACACTATTCTATTATTTCTCATGTGCAGTGTGACTCCTACCAGGCTGAGAAGCAGCAGTGAGGCTCAGTGACTCCAGGGCTTCCTCCAGCTCTTTAACCTGTGTCCTCAGCCTCTCTCCTTTATCTGGTAGCGCCTCCAAGTTTACTGAAGATAGAGTGGCCTGAGGACAGAGTGAAGACAAAGAGCTCTCATAAGCCTGAGTATTAAACTAACCAGCTGCTCTGTAGTATTTGTTGTTGTGATGTATACAGTATTGGAGTGTGTAATTTATGGGCTGTTATAAATGCTGAAACTGAAGGATTAGCAGTTAGCTAATACCAGCCAATTAGATATCAGCCTAATCATAAATCACATTGCTGGACTTATGAACGAAACTGTACTTAACAGCTACCTCAGCCTACTTTGTCAGCTAGTGTAGCTAACAGTGGCAACTTTAACATTTAAAGAGAAAAGCACATTCTGAGAGCTTGCAGATTATTTACTATGATATAATTACAAGTACTACAAATATTCTTCGGTGTTTTGGGAAACGCAGCCTAGGAGTGACTGATATGAGTATATCAGGGCGGTTAATTAACAGATTTCTTAATGCGGACATGTTTGACATGCATATATTTTTTTTACATTATAATAATATTTGTATGTTAGGTTTTAAATCAATGCAGTGTTCATGCATGACATGTGTTGTCTCCTCGTCCCCACACCTTTTTCTGCTGGAGCTGAACGGTGAGCAGGTTCTGCAGCCCTTTGGGGTTTTCCACCGGCTTTTTGATGTTAGAAGCTGGCTGGAATCCTGGGAAGTTGGTCAGTGTCTTTTGGACAGTAGAAACAGGAGGAGTCTTTTGCAGAGCAGGCTTCACCGACACCAGTACCACATCATCATCATCATCATCGTTGTTTTCGGGACTGTTGGGCTGACTGGACTCTGGCTGAGTTGGTTTGTCAGGTATGGGGCTCCTGCTGCTGTCAGAGTGTCTGGATGCATGGGTGCAGCTGCTGTTTTCTAGTATTTGTTTGGTTTCTTTCACCTGAGAGGTTTCAGCATCAGACGGTTGCTGAGTCAAGTTCCTGTGAGAAACTGGTGCAGTTTGATTGATTGTTTTGAGTTGATGTTTGTTTGATGACTCAGAATGAACAGTCTTGACGTTGGAGGAAGAAATGCCCTTTTCTGCTTCTCCTTGCTTAATGCGGTTCTGCTCGGGCGTGTCTTGAATCTTCTCGGTTCTTTTTTCAACACTGTTTTCTTTGGGACTGTTGTTTTCCTCATCTGAAACTCTCTTTTTTAACTTCATCCCCGGTGGAAGTTGTTTACCCCGGTAAGTATCCGATGACCTGTGCTTATCATCTGCCTTTTCTTCCACTCCTGCACCTTGTTGCCTTTCATTTTCTTTCTGGTAATTTGCTCTTCTTTCAGCCTTGTGACTTGCTTCTCTCTCTTCATGTCTATTGTTGTGCAACTTTCTCCACTCAGAGTCCTTGTCTGTCTGGCTTGGTGCCTTAAAGGGGTTTCGTACAGGTGGAAGACATGAGGGCTGTAGCTGTGTGTCAGACAGAGGGCTTCTCTTTTCTGTTTCTGGCTGCAATCATGGAAAACAACACACTTTAAAAAAAATGTATCATAGAGATTTACAGAAAGGTGTCTAATAACAGCTAATCCCTAATGTGGTGTTTAACCCCTGGAGGGTCTTAGGGTCGATTTGTGGCTCTAGGTCCGATAGTGTATGCATTTTTCTAAGACCCTCCAGGGGTTAAAAAGAGTAAATAGTTCAGAATAGGAAAAATACTTGTTCATACCATTTAGCTACATCCTATTTAAGGCTGCAACTTATGATTGTTTACATAATAAATGTATTAATCAATGCGTACGCCAGGAAAACCGTAAAAAATTTACAGTTACAGCATTAAAGAAAAAACAACAAAAGAAAAACAAATACAAAAGAGGTAAGGATTACTTTTGTTTTGAGTGACTGACCAATGAACTGACTAATTCGTACAAGTTTAATTATTAGTGGAGTAGTGAGAATAATAACATAAAACTTTAATTAACCGCATTTTTAATAACTAATAACTATCTTTAATTAATATCTCAATGCGATGGCCAGAAACCGTTGGTGATACAGATATTGAATGTATATAAAAAAACAAGTGTGTGTTGGGAAGTCTGTGGCAGCACTTACTGCAGTCCAGGGTACATTTCCACACCACCTCTGGCCTGCTTTTTTACCTACAGCACATCGGTAGAACAACCTGGAAAACGAGAAGGAATTTGCAGTTAAATACACAGTCTAACCGACCTGGTTTCTAGTCATATAAGCTGTGTATAAGCATGCGATTTCAGATTTCTTTCTCACACACACACACACACCTATAGCCCTGCTGTTGCTGACTGTAGTTGAGAGCCTGGAGTTCCACCATTGAATCTTCATGATGGAGGCAGTGTGATGGTGAAATGCTAGAGACATGATAATTCATGTCAATAAAACAAATATTTGTGCAACACACACATTTGTTTATCAATAACTTTAACAATATGTCACTGAATAACCAACACTTTTAACCTCAGATGTTTGGAGAGAGCCAATGAGTATAGTAAAGTTGGCTACTGAGATGAATGGAACAAAAGCAATGTAAGGATATAGTCAAGGAATAGTTAAGAGATTATTATTTGGTTCAAACACAGTGACGATGACTGCTTCAGGTCTGAAAATACAGTAGAGTAGCCTATTGTCATCGTGGGAATACCTGGTTTGTTGACTAAAATCACATCCTTGCTTGTCAACGCAGACGTAGAAGCTCTTGCCTTTATTTGGTCCATCTTTTAATCCGGTTTTTAACATACACACACCACCTGTGACAAAAAGGTCTCTTTTTAGAAACACGTAAAAACTCGAAGTGCAGAATATTTAAACCGATGGTTAAACTAATTATTAAACTACGTAAGCAGCAAACCTTTTTTTCTCAGGATAAAAACACAAATATAACCTCTTTCAACCAAACACAATATCCAGTTTAGCATTTTATAACACATAATTAATCACCACTGACCGATTACCACTTACCGTGGATACTACATACAACCTTTTCCATTTTATCAACACATTAGTTCAGTTTCAGTTACTAGAACGTGAAGGGAAGAGCTGTATTTCGTATAGACCAATCGCAGCTCTCGGATAACACATCCGCTCTTCAAACGTCAGTATAAAAGTCAAGGTCCGAGTTATTTAGCAAAATTGTATTATGATGGACAAAGAAATAATATATAATAATGTATTAACATCAAATACCAATAACTATTAAATATATAACAATATAAAAAAAACAAACTCAACAAACACCAAATTGAATTTGCTTGATGACTCTTATTGTGCAATATATTTAACTTTTAACCGGATATGATATAAGCTAGTTCCGAGAACTTCCGTAAACCTGTTCCGTAAAAAGATTTTTTTTTACATGTATGCAGAAGCTGCTTTTCAGTTTAAAAAAACGTATGTTTTGTATATAAAAAGCATTATTTATCATTTCTATGAAATAAAAAGACATTAAAAACAGTTAGTACTAGCGTGATGTAAGACTACGTTACCCACAATGCAACAACAACTTCATCGTTGGGTTTTTTTGGTCTCGCGGGCTTTGTTTTGATATGGCGGCAGGCTTCGAATTTTTTGTTTGTTGCCTTTGTATAACGCCCGATTTCATCACAGTAAACCTGCTTTTCTCCTGAGTAACAGGTAATGTCGATGTGTTTTGTGATGCTTGGTAATGTTGTAGTGTCGTCACTACGGTGTAACATCCGGGAAAAGGTTTTATGAAATAAATAAAATGCAGCCTGCTAATAACGGGACAGTGTGGACTAGGAAGCCAAGCCTTTTAAATAAAGCGACATTTGACAAAAATGAAAAGAGCACTTCCACATTCCACGTGAGCCACATGTCATAAATGCCACCATTCTCTCCTATGTTTTTTTAATAGACAGTGTTAAGATGATTGTTCGTAACCAAATATCTGGAACTGACTATACGGCTTCTATGTAGCAACCAGAACGGAAACCAATCTCGTATTAAAAAGGCAATGTCTTTTTTATATATATAACGTCTCTATATATGGTTTTATTGGACCTGGGCGTCAGCTATAGGGTGTTGGATGGTGTTTATTCGTGGCGTGATTAACCCTTAACCTGTCACCATAATCTTTCGCTTAGATCCCGGATTAGACTATCCTGCTTGCCACATCGCGGCCATCATGTCATCTCCAGCTGGCCTTCAGTACTCCCAGGCAGACTTCTTGGCCCGGTGGATGCCAAGTAGCACCAGAGCCGGAGTGATCCTCAGTCCCTCTCCGGATTTGGCTGGACCCTTGGGGCACACCTCTGCCGTGGGATCTTCGCCCATGTTGCCAGACGATTCCTTCGCTTCCGATTTTGCCCCGTTGCCCGCTTCTACAGACAGCAGCTGCCTGGGTGTGGATGCATTTAGACGGGCAGCAGGAGGAGAGATGACTGAGTCTGACAGGCCGGTGAACGGTCTAAACTCTGTTCCAACGAGAATTGCAGATGGACAGCTGGACACTTTGGACGAGATGGCAAGCAAATCACAGGATCTGCCCCTTATGATGAAGCTTGAACAGGTAAGGACATCGGTGCTTTTCAGAAGCTGTTTTGTCCTGTAACTTGACACAATCAAGTTGTTAAAAGTATAAAATTTGGCATATGTGACTCGCCCTGCTGCTGTGCATCTGAGGAGATGGACTTTCAATACCTAACATAAATGACACAGATACTGGGAGGATCTTTAGTTTTACTGGTTTACTGATACAGGGGTGAGACAAAGCAGAAAAAAATGAACCTGTAATTCATTTATTAATAATGTAAAAACATTTGGACACTTTAATCCCACAGATCTCCTAATATATGCAAATTTTGGGCCCTGCGTGGACTTCATTGTTGATTACATCACTGCTTCCTGTATACTTAATGCACCTCCATCACACACACTCCTTTACGTTTCTCTGCTATTAATAGAATTTTCCCTAAGGCAATTATGTTGGCTGGGACACAGATGCAATTAAACACTTAGACTATATGTCAACTGGCAGTATGTGCAGCGCATGTGTGAATTGACACTGAGCTGAAACTACTCAGAAACATCTATGTTAAATGTAGCTTAAACCATCTGAAAAACACAGATACCATATATCGTGGCGATCGAGTTGGCAGTTCGTCTGGTAATCGGAAGGTTGGCGGTTCGAGCCCCGGCTCCAACAGTCTCGGTCGTTGTGTCCTTGGGCGAGACACTTCACCCGTTGCCTACTGGTGGTGGTCAGAGGGCCCGGTGGTGCCAGTGTTCGGCAGCCTCGCCTCTGTCAGTGCGCCCCGGGGCAGCTGTGGCTACAATGTAGCTTGCCATCACCAGTGTGTGAATGTGTGGATGACTGAATGTAGTATAAAGCGCTTTGGGGTACTTAGGGACTAAGTATAGTGCTATACAAATACAGGCCATTTACCATATATACCATATATATTAGCTACACCATATCTAATTAGAATTGAATGTAATATGTATGTGCAGTTAAAGAAATGGCAGCAGCACATGCAGGAGCAGCTAAAAGCTCATCAGCTGGAGGAGCTGCTTCATCTCCAGGAAGAGCAGCAGAAGTTACTGGGAACTCTGAATGGATCCGAGCACTGCACAGGAGGTCAGAGAGTGAAATTACACGAACAACTGCAAAGTGATCATTTTGCGTTCAGGGTGAATGTGGTGTGCATGTATTTATCCTGCTTTATAAACTGAAGTGATGATAACCCATCTTACAGAGAGTTCAGAAATGTCCGGACCAGAGTGGGTTGAGGACACGCTCCACAGGTCATGTTACACACAGCGCTCATACAGTCCTGATACAAATCACCATAGAGTCCCACAGGGCTCTACGATCGGCCGTCAACCAGAACAGCAACTTTCACTAGTTGTCAGACACGAGCAGCTACCCAAAGGTCAAGCATCTGAGGAGGGTGACCATGAGGAAGAGGGTAAGATATATTTATTTTAAATGTAAGTTTCAAATGTAAGGCCCAGGGTCCAGAATCGACTGACCAAAGACTCCAAACCGGCCCACTGCACAGCTTCACATGTGTGAAATGTGAAGGAGTACATAGAAAGTTACCACCACCACAAAAGTTGGTAACTAATAGATAAACAATTAAATGACACTATCTACCATAGAAATGCGTTTTTTTTTTGGTTTTTTTTGCAGGTGGTCCACAGTAAAGAATAAATTAGACATGATATTTTATTACTACAGGATAGTCTGGGCTATAAATCTCCAAAATATTTTCTTTAATTTTAAATATCTGTCATATAGTTTCACTCTTTCAGTTTACTTAAGATCAAAGCGGGCTGTATGTCTCCTATGATGTAAAACAAGTTTGACATCCCTGGTTTAGAGTAAGACACTTGCACAGTTTCTTGGTATTTGTTTTCTATAGAACTGCCGTGTCTTTCATCACATGGTCCACATGTTTTCATGGTTAACCGCTTTGTTTTTTTAGGTTCACTGGACTCCAGAGAGGATGAGGAGGAGCACAGTGTCAATGCGAGCTGTTTTTCTGAGGAAGACGACATGTTGATGCAACATAATGCTGTGGCAAGGACTGAAGATGACAGCAGAACAGAAGACAAAATCTTTCATGACAGGTAAATATTACGTAGTCTTGTGTTTATGTAGTATTAACATCAGACTGTCTCGACAGATCTGTGTTTGAGTAGGGTTTTGTTTCCCTCCTCAGACCTATAAGGCCAGGTATTGGTGGTCAAAAGCAGACATTTGAAGAGCTGCTGGAGGAGCAGCTGAAGCTGGAGGAGCAGAGGCTAAAGTCTGCCCAGCAACAACAGGTCAGAGGATGTGTCACGAGTGCTGAAAAGTATCAATAATGAACCATTCATTTGAGTTTTGCATTCTGCAGGTGACAACCTGATATAGGAATGTAATGTCTGCACAAATGGAGCCTGTCTGTATTTTGCAATAAAATACTCTATTTAACTGGAAAAACTAAAAGATTCCAATTTACATTGAATTCAAATCTTGTCCTATTCCTTGAACAGAGTCAAGATGGAGCCAACGCTGCGCAAGCCCTTCCTAAGAGAGCCTTTTTGAAGCGAGGAGAGGGCCTTTCGAGATTTACAAATAATCGGAAAGCTATGTTCCAAAAAACGGATGTAAAGAAGGACTCCAGACCACCACCGCCTCAAGCCAGAGTAATCTCTCGCAGCAACTCGGAGCCCGCATATATTCAGAAAGGAGCCGCAAACAGTGCCCCACGGCTTCCTGTCCAGCGTAAAACTGCTACACTCAACAAGGAGAACCGGTTGAAGGGACTCAGCTCACCTCCTCACGATACGCGAGCAGTGACTAAAGTAGCACGGACAAAGGTTTTAGGTAGTCATCAGAGGCAGAACACAACAGGACCAGAGTCTGTCCAAACTGATCCAGGTGGCAGACCAGCCAAACATCAGCTGAGGAAAGTTCTGCCGGTTCAGGCCGTGAAAGTCCCGTGTCTCAACATTCAGCCATGTCCTACAACCAAACAGGGCGGGAAGTTAGGACAGGCAGGGACGGCTGAAAATGAAAAAAGCTGTGGTTCAAAAGTGGAATCAGCAGAAGCAGGAGGGGTTTCTAAAGGAGGAGACCCAGTTATACAGGATTCCTTTGAGTTGTCTTTTCAGAAGAAGCTCCAGCGATGGGAGTGTGACCGACAGCTGGAGAGCATGGAGCTGGGAGAGTTTGAGCTGCTGGAGCAAGCAGCTGAAGAGCTGTCCTTCTCATCTAACTCCTCCTTTGTCATGAAGGTGCTCTATTTCACTCTCAAACTCATCACGCTTTAATTCAGCACTTCAAATGCTCAAAGGTTTCGATGCCTAGTGTTACAATTTTTTGTCACACAGTTGTTTGTGTTGATAGCGTCTCTGTTTCCTTGTTTGTGTTGTTTCTGGTTGTTGGGATTCAGTATTTCTGCTGCCTTTAAGTGGTTAAAATCTACTATTGAATTTCTAAAGAAATTACCAGATTGGGTTGCCTTTCTCCTGGACTTTACTGTTAGCCGTGTGTTATGTAGACAATAACCCCTCTCTCCCCAAAAAACGAATACTCTGCTCATTGCTTGCAGGTTCTTCAGATGGATCAA